TTGGGAGGGGATCGGCCTGACCCGACCCTTCGCGGGGCTGCGGGGTGGGAGGAGGGCCCGGCCCCCGTACACGCGCTTTCCTGCTCCCACGCGGCCCCCAGGCCGGCTCCGGCGGGAGAGGGGTTGGTGTTGCGCCGGGGGCTGGTCCGCTCCTGCGCTCTGCTCCGCCGCTCTCACCCGAGTGGGAGAGCATCGCCGGCGCTTTATTTGCTGCTTACAGAGCAGCAGGAGAGCTTCCTTATCCTTCTTTTCTTGCCTTTTCTCCTTGGTTGACACCCGCGTTCCCTGTGAAATGCACACACACACATACCCCGAGTTTAGGGTTTTTATTATTCACTAAAGATTATCTTTAAGTCAGAAATTTGTAGGTGGTGTTGCATGGCTTCAGCCGTTCTGGTCACTGGCTGTATTAGTGTTAAACTCACACGAAGTAGGCTGCAGAGCTTGTGTTTGAAGTGCATATAAACGCTGAGATGCTTAGCCCCATGCTGTTGGGGCTGGACTGATAACCCTATCCAGGCTGTGTTGTGGAGACACAGCTAACAGTGCGGGTAAACTGGCTTCTAATTATTTTTCTCCTTTTGAGGACAACAGGATCTTAGGAAAACTTTTTCAGAGGGAGTAACCCATGCTATCTATGTGGCTGACTCATGCTGTATTTACTACTGGTAGGAGAATGAAAACATGTTGCTCAGTTGCTCTTGTTTCTGGTTAGGTTTTATTTTTAGTTTTGGATTTTATTGTAATGTGGGTTGCTGGAGAACATGTGTTTTCCTTAGGAAAAGGAAAAAAAAAAACCCAAAACCCAAGCTTGCTCTTTATCTATTTTTTTTAATAAATCCTGGGACTAATATTCTGCTCTGAGGAATTCAGACCAGCCCGCAGCAGTGTTTTGAGAATTTTCCTGTTGATCAGCGAAGTGTTGCAGCACTGTGGAGCTAGGCCTTTCACAGTCATGGTACTGGTTTGGTAGTGCATAGTTTTGAGTGTCTGTGCATTATTTGGCTAACACGGGACAGAATTATAACCTGTCATGACATCAGCCCTGATGGTGGTTGCTGACCTACTTGGAACAGATTTTATCCTGAGCTACTGCTTAGTGTTGGTCAGGTGTAATAAAGCTTTAGTGATAATGGCAAATTTCTCTATGCTGTAATTTTTTTTAGAATTATTTTAGTGTTCAGGAGTGACCGAGACATAGACCAAGATGCTAGTTAAAGTTTTACCGGTGAGGGGCTTTTTCAGACATTCTGAAAAGTACTTGTTTTCATTTTAAAGATCTAACCCCACTTCTGTATTAGTTGTACATCCCACTTGAGCTGCTTGCACTGGGCCAAGCAAAGAATTAGTGCTGTTCCAAGGACAGTGTCTTGACAGACAGTTACTCATGCATAACATTGAACTGCATCCACAGCCTTAGAAGCCAAATAAATTCGCTGAATTTACAGAAAATGCCTTTTTGCATCATGGCCTTGTTGTTTAGCAAGTCCCCTCTGAGGTTCTTGATGGCTTTTCAGAATGGTGGCAAAGTAAATGGGTACCTGGAAGCGTGATCAAGAAGTCTGGCGAAGCACTTCTGAGCTAGCACCAGAATAGTGTTAGGTTTTTGGTGTTTCTTTGTGTTTGATATACAACTGATATACCATTGTGGAAATACTTGTTATAAAAGTAGTTTCACAACAAACTCTTTAGGTGTTTGAAAGCACAGACGTAATTGCTCTGAACTCAAGTGTGAAACTTGCTCTGTTGGGGAAAAAAATGAGGAAAAGTAGAGAAGTCAAATAGTGAAGAGAACTTTAATGCCCTGTTGTAACAAGCAAAGGCAGTAGAAGTAGGATATGAATGCACTTCATTGTGCTGCTGCTTCTCTCAGCTTCTACTTACATCTCATGTAGTTCAGTAGGAACGTACGCCTTTCGTGAGTACAAATACATGAGTACTTAATGAGCTCAAAGAACAAAGAAAACATAGAATCACAGAATGGTTTGGGTTGGAAGGCACCTTAAGGATCATCTAGTTCCAACCCCCCTGCCATGGGCAGAGACCCCTTCCACTAGACCAGGTTGCTCAAAGCCTCATCCAGCCTGGCCTTGGACACTTCCAGGGATGGGGCATCCACAGCTTCTCTGGGCAGCCTGTTCCAGTGTTTCACCACGCTTTCCGGGAAGAATGCTCCAAACATGAGACTATTCACAAAATCAGTTGAGAAATCCTTGCCAGCACTGTACTATAAAGCTGTAAAATAGCCAGTTCCATGAATGCTTTTGTAGTGATATCAGTACTCTGACAGTTTTAGGATGACTTGATGTGATTTACTAATAATGTCTTAGAAAATTGTGCAAACACAGAGTTTTCCTTTCAGGGAACTAATTGAAATTTTGGCAATTTCAAGAAACCAGAAGCTTCCGCAGCCGGGAGAGGAGAGCCAGGTAAGCTGTCTTTCTAAACTGTATTTCTTTGGGGAAGCACAATGCCTGCTTTCTCCCCCTTTCTTGCCTGCTTTCTCTCCCATACTTGGGCTAATGGTGGTGATGATGTTTTGGCCCCACTACAAAAGCATTCGTTGGCTGTTTCTGCAAACAGAGGGAGAAATTTTGTTTCATTTTACATGCAAACAGAAATACTCCTGTGGATGTCAGTTGCTCTTCTTCACAGCACAATTGAGGGGGTGTTGTTACTCTTGCTAAATTAAAAGTTTTACAAAACTCTTGTTCAATAGATCTTGGAACTGCTGATTCAGAGAGATGGAGAGTTTCAAGAGCTAATGAAGTTGGCAGTTGAGCAGGGGAAAATCCATCATGAAATGCAGCTTTTAGAAAAGGTAGTAGAAAAGAGGGATAATGATATTCAGCAGCTGCAGAAACAACTGAAAGAAGCAGAACACATACTGGTAAGTTCATAATGATGTGTTTCCTTTTGAGCATCTACTTGTGAAAAAGGTGGTTCTGGAGAAAGTGGTGTTCTGTTAGTTTGAGAAGATTTAAATATTTAAAACTTCATAAGAGCTTAATGGTTTGGGTTTTGGGTTTTTTTTTCCACTAGTCAAATCCTGTTTAGTTATCATGGGATTCAATTTTGTTTTATAATGCTAATTTTCTTCCAAACCTACTTTACTTCTGTAGATTTTGAAAATGTTCACTGAATGGCTTCTCTCTTAAAATGCAATTAAATGCAAGGGTTTATTCACAGAGCCGACTTCATGTAGAAGTTTACAAATTAAAGATGCATTGAAGGTTTGGTTTAGTTTGTTTGTTGTTTTTTTACAACTAGGCAACAGCTGTTTATCAAGCAAAGGAAAAGCTGAAATCAATTGAAAAGGCAAGAAAAGGTGAGTATCCATGATTGTACGTACACATAAATGCAGTGGTAAAGGAATTTGCTAGTGAGCTCGACTTAAGGTTGGGTTTTTTGTTTTTGTTTTTTTTTTTTTTTTTTTTTTTTTTTTTTTTTTTTTTTTTTTTAAATTCTACCATCACAGCTTTTGCATGGTTTATGCGTAAACAAATTTCCATTTCATTATGAACCTACAGCCATTTCCTCAGAATAAAGGCGGGAATGAATTGTTTTTTGTGGCAAACGTATCCTCATACTTCAACTTGAATTCAACGGTTTCAACGCTCTTGTTGGACTGGTGGTACTGTATCTGATTACCTAGCATCTCACCAAAGACAAATTGCCTCAGGAGGCCTACTGAGGAAAAGGAGATGATGTTTGTATTCATGTGTATTGTACAATAACATCGTATTTGAAAGATTGACTAGCTGGTGATACGGGTTTGTATTTGAAACAATTCCTGCTACTCTGTGACACTTGCCAAGCTACGCTGACTTTTTTTTTTTTTGTGGGAGGCATTTTCTTCATGGAGGTTGTTTTTTTTTTTACTGTATTTTTTTATCATTTCATTATAGCTCTTCCATATTAAAAAAATTCAAGGAATTTCATAAAGTTTTCATTACTTGTAATATGGGCACATATTTAGAAGGGCTGCTACATGTCTGTTCTACAATTACTAAACAAAAGAATTTACTGTAGGAAATTCAATACTAAAGCAGGTACTGAAGTTTTCTTACAAACTGTGCTTGTCAGGTACGCTGCTTAAGAGATTGCCTTGTGTTTCTCACAAGGTTGAAGAACTGTTGACATTAAAGGTGTGCTGAACTTGTGGCTGTAAAATCAGTTCACTGCAAAGCTTGTCCTTGCATAGCGTAAGAATCCTCTAAGCAGTCACTGCATTTGAAGCAGGCTTTTAATGTTTGACAAAATGTCATTCACAATCTTTTTGATATTTCAGTATATTGGACACTAATAATTGAATGATGCAATCTCTTGGAAAGGTAGTAACTTTTTGTCCCTTCTTCCAGGTGCCATTTCCTCTGAAGAAATAATTAAATATGCCCATAGGATCAGTGCTAGCAATGCTGTTTGTGCCCCTCTGACATGGGTTCCAGGTAGCTATCATGTTTATAACAATAGATTTTTCTTTTTTAAATAACAAAGCATGGTATCCGGTCTTCTAATACTTTCATATAGTGAAAAACACTGGGGTTTACTAGAGTAACATTGTTTTCAGCTGTTATATCTAATATTTAATAATTTTAAGCGCTGGAACAGGTTGTCCAGAGAAGCTGTGGATGCCCCATCCCTGGGAGTGTTCAAGGCCAGGCTGGATGAGGCTTTGAGCAACCTGGTCTAGTGGAAGGTGTCCCTGCCCATGGCAGGGGGGTTGGAACTAGATGATCTTTAAGGTCCCTTCCAACCCTAACCATTCTATGATTCTATGATTCTATGTGCTTGGTTGCGTTCCCTCCTGCCCCTTCTAATGTTCTTTCATGGGACATTAGTAAGCAGTGGGGTCAGAAGCAGGGCTTTCTTTATGTCAGGGTTTGATTTTTGGTACTGTGCTCCTTGTCCAAAATGACAATGTGTTTTTTTTCAATTCCTGCCCTTGCTGTTTTGCTATGAAGTAGCAGGGAAAGCAAAGATCCTTTTAAACATGGTGTGTTGGTTTATTTTTTTAATTTTTTAAATTTTTTCTGCCAAGTTTGAACAAAGAAAGTCTAAGACACAGACTTGGATTTTAATAAAACAGCTGTGATGCTCATTGCTGATCCAAACAATCATAGCATGGGTTTTTTCCCCTCACAAAACTAGGCACTGAAGAAAAAGTTAATGCTTGCAAGACAGTTGTTAATACTTAAAAACATCTCTTTCTTGGTGTTTTTTTTTTTTTTTTTTTTTTAAGGGGACCCACGTAGGCCATATCCGACAGATCTGGAAATGAGGAGTGGTCTCTTGGGTCAGATGAACAACCCATCCACCAATGGAGTTAATGGACACTTACCAGGGGATGCACTTGCAGCAGGCAGACTGCCAGGTAAGAGAGACTCAGTTTTGTTTTGCTTTTCTTTATTCCTTGTAAAGACGTAACAATGATTGATTTGACTTTGCGAAGGGAAATGTGAGTCAAGGTAATGAAAATTATGGCTAATGTTATTCCCTAGCAGTGAAGATCTAGTAAATGAAGTTAACAATTAGGAGTTGTGTAATTTTATTTCATGCTAAATCATACCGCGTACGCTACAACTAAGTCCATGTAAACTAAACTCAGTTACCCTTCACCAATTTTAAATTGCTGTAAATAGAGTGATATCAGACCATATTAAAAAGAAGCATTTTCAAAGCAAACTTTTCTTAGCAGTGATAACAAAATATGGAATTGTGAAAGCTGTATTCAGAAAAGGGAGGTTTATTGTTATCCCCTACCTTCCTTTAGTCTACACTCTGTATAGCAAGACTGCTTCGAAGTTGTGGATTGAAAAGACATTGCAAAGGGTGGCTGGTGGGGTAGAATCTCAAGTGCTGGATTCAAGCTTTAATCCCTTAATCGCTTAGTGAAATGGGTACTTCCGGTGACTTTAGTGGGATTCATTCATTCACATTAAAATGAATTTAGCAGTAAAATGCAGTAATTGAATCAAGAACTCATTGGACCTGTGTAGCGTTAATTTACCATGGTTAGACCAAATTCTGGAAAAATTCTCAGTTTGGATTCATAGGAGATCTGTAACGGTTCTTACCTGTCTGTTAAGTCGCTTGCAGGTGTTATGGATAGCTTGTTTTCAAAAATTGTATATTAAATATTGACTATATGCATTAATGTATAATCATATAATACTATACGTAATATTGTATTTTTATACATTATATGTTAAAAAACCCTGTATCATGATTCCATTGGAGAAATAGCAAACAATCATCTGTCTGAGCCTCTTGTCACCTGTTAGGAAGTGACTTAAAAGTTCTCCATTATCTCCCTTGCTAAACTTCTGGCCTTGGATAAAATGGGTCAATGAGCTGAATAGGAGTGGTACCCTGACATCCGTCCATAGCAATCCACCATGGAAGTGCTGAGGTTGGGCCCATGTCTCTGTTCTTTTGAAATACAGTCACAAAGATGTTAAGGTTGTGTTTTCCTCGTGGAGTTTGAGCATTTATTTACCTAAGCTTCGGTAGGGTGCATTCTGGCTGGCTCCTCTGCCTTAAGGGATGCAGATTTGCTCCTTTGAGAGCTGTCTCTGTAAGAACTGAAAGTCCGCTCTTCAGGAGTTTTCCTTGAGAAGCTGGAAAATGTGGGATTTAAACTCCTCAACCTTGTTAATTAAATCTTGGTCTCCTATGTCAGGGGAAATCCTCTAATTACTAGACTGTCAGGTAAGAAGGAAATATTAAAACTGCATTTAAAAGAAAGTACAGGCAACCGTGGCATTTTGTGTAGGGATCCTGAATCTGTTGGTTTGAGGAGGTATGTCCTGAGAATGTTAATTATGGGATCTAGTCCTTTTAGAGACTTCTGTGGAGAGATACATGGTTACAGAGTCCTTACTGAGTCTGCCAGCCAGCCAAGGGGCTGCTTGGTAGCCTCAAAACTCTGAGGCTGCTCAGCACACACCTTCAACCTGGTTTAATAGCGGGCTGGTTCTAGCACTGAGGCATGGCTACAGGATGTAGAACGCTGGCTTACATTCTCAGCTGGTTCAGTTAAAGTTGGTTAACTTCACCAGTGTTGGGATGAGACCACCTGGTACTATAGTTGCGTCTTCCTAAAGCAGGCACAGAACTAGCATAAAGGCTGCATTCACAGAATCACAGAACGGTTTGGGTTGGAAGGGACCTTAAAGACCATCTAGTTCCAACCCCCCTGCCATGGGCAGGGACACCTTCCACTAGACCAGGTTGCTCAAAGCCTCATCCAGCCTGGCCTTGAACACTTCCAGGGATGGGGTGTTATGTTCTCACATCTGCAGGTGAGTCGGATTTGTGCAGCTGGGTAATGCATCTGGTATGATTGTGGCTGTAATTCATATATGGAATCTGCATATATGGTGTCTGCAGACTTAAAGATGGGTGTGGAGTCCGTGTGCTTCTGTGTTAGACAGCACCTGAGTGAGAGTAAGTCTACCATGTATGACCCCCTGCTTAGACAATACCCTCTTTTTCTGTACTCAGAGTCCCATGTGGGTGGAGTTTTGTTCACTTCTGACTCTGCCTAATTACTTTTAATTCTTGCTGTAAGCAGGAGATGGCTGGTTTCTTCTCAAGGGTAGATTTGGCTGCAGTGCCCAGTACAGAGTGGAGAAGAAGAGCACAGCAGTAGGAACATAAATTCAAAGGAAGGGAGCAGAAATGGCGTGTAGATGCGTGCTGCACCTTTGAAATGGGAGCCATTCTGGGGGTAGGGAAGGGAGAAACTAGGAAGTGTTATGGGGAGAGGGTAGGTTGGTAGGCAGTACAGGATGGGATGGCTTTGGAAGTAGGAGGAGAAGAGAAGAAAAAGAGCTGAGAGAAGTTGCTGCTCAGAAGCAACTGAGCCTGGCCTGGCTGGGCACGGTGGGACATTTGCACCTCTCAAGGATCTCTGACTGTGGCCCTGGTTTTGCAGTGGGACTCTCTTGTCCTTTGCACTTGGTGCACCATATCTGCTGTTGGAAAAAGGATAACCAGGGTGTTTCAGCCCAAGTTGCATAAAACCTTTTACTCTGAATTTCTATGGTCTGCCTTAAGGGTGTTCTGGTGGTATGGTTTTTTTTTTTTTTTTTAAATCTAATGTTTTCATCTATTTTTCATACTGACAGAAGGTGACCGTTTTCATTACTGTCAGTGGTTGTGAATGTTAAGTCAGTTCAGTTCAAACTGTGCTTTGAAGATGAAAAGCTCTGTATGAATATATACTGTTTCGAAGTGGAGTGATGAGTGATCGAGAGCCACCTACATATAAATGGGCCTCTCAGGCAGAGCAGGCTTTTTATAGTGATGGAATGGCTCCATCATGAGATGTTTTCCAGCTGTTACTGGAGGGTTTCATCTGTCCAAAATTCATGAAGGATTTTAAGATTTGTTTTAATTTTAAATTGGAGTTGTGGTTGAGCAGTCTTGTTGAATCTGTCTGTATGCAAAGGTGATAGTTTGATTGATTATGCCCCTTTTTTCCAGATGTTCTCGCTCCTCAGTATCCTTGGCAGTCAAGTGATATGTCAATGAACATGCTACCTCCTAATCACAGTAATGACTTCATGTTGGAGCCTCCGGGACACAATAAAGAGAACGAAGATGATGTAGAAGTTATGTCAACAGACTCCTCCAGCAGCAGCAGCGACTCAGACTAGGTACGAGAGGGACAGTATCCCTAGTAGACCTTTCCTGTGGTGAAGGTAGGTTGGATGCTGTTCATCACAAACTGCAACACTGGCGGCCCGGTATAGGGACAAGCTAACCGCTGGCTCAGAAATAGGGTGGCTAATTTAAAACCGTGGACTTTAGAGTGGGGTTTTTTGTGTGGGTTTTTTTTTCCCCAATAAGATGTTCAAGTAAAATGACTGGGAGCTTTTCTGCTGCAGGAGAGATGCCAAATTTCCAGTGATGATGTGAATGTGTATGTTTGCAAGAGACGTGTGTGTGTATATATATATTTGCTATACATTAGATGACAAACGTTCCTGGGAAAAGAGGTGTAAGGGGAATCTCCTTGTATGTTTGTTAGTAACTTTAATCTTTTGATGATAGCCTTTTCTATGGCACAGAAATGGGGCATGAAATTTGTAATTTTAATATCTTTTTCTTACTGTCTAAATCCATGTTCTTGATCATCTTGTGTGTACTGAGAACAAAAATACGGCAATAAAGTGCAAAAAAAGTTTGTAATTATTGTAATATAAAATGAATGATTTGTCATAAATAAACTCAGCTTTGATGTAACTTTACGTTTCATTTTGTAAACTTAGATGAGGTATTGTGCAACCTCAGTACTCAGCATGTTTTATCCCAGTATGTTCTTGAATTCTGATTGAGTTTCAGAAGTGTTTACTCCCATTTTTTCCCCTTTGCAAAATGCCCAGTCAGAATTAGAAGCAGTCGAGCAGTCAGGAACTGAACGCCTGTCCTTTCCAGCTGAGCTTTGTCAGGCACACGCCTAACTGGGCAGACTTGGAGGCAGTGATGTAGAGTGCCCATTCGCAAGACTTCACCAATGCTTCGGTTAAGCGCGTTGGGACCCTGGAGATGGCACGCTGCAGGTTCAGATCCTTGCAGTTCAAAGTGCTCACCGTGTCTCTATTCTCATCACCTGTCATTTTTTTCAGTTACCTTTGAAACGTGCTAATTTGTTGACTTCAGCGTTGCATTTCCTGCCTTGGCTACAAAGTTCTTTCATCTTTCCAAAGACCCTTCCCTTGGCTTTCCTTTCCTTGCTCTGTTTTGCTTAAGGAGTCATTTTATGACAGGTACTTTTCTCTTTTAGCTTTCTCATTTGATCAGAGGGTTACATGTGTTGCTCATGACAGTTACGGGTTTCTGCCCTGCAATGAGGCTTCCTGAAGCACAGATCACAATTCTTTCTGCTTTTCTGTTTTGTAGATTCCTCGAAGGATCTGATAAATCAGGTCCTTCTTCATTTGCTCAGTCTTTCAAATATTGCTGTCAGTATGTCAGTCACATATGCCCAACACATGTACAAATCCCGTAAGAATGAAGAAAGGAAAATGACCTCCTGTGGTCAGGTTTAATCACATAATGTGTGGCTTTTGTTTTAAAACAGAAATGGGGCCTCTCTCTAACCTTGCCTGCCCCTGCTCTAATTAACACTGTAGCTGGGTTTCTTTTTCTTAAACATGTGACCAGAATCATACACAATATTGCAAAAATGCAGTTTCTTAATCCTTTGTACCATGGGATTTGTATTTTCTTTAACTGCCCTTCCCTTACCACATTTTATGACACAGCCACAGCTCAGTAGTCTTTTGTCTTCTCATCTATAAGGACATTCTTTTTCTTGGAATGAAATATAGATAGAGGTAGTTAATACTGGTGGAAAGCATAATGTACAGTCTACCCTAAACTCTTCTATGGCTAGATCACCTGATACACTAACTGAAATATTGTGGAGCTGGGCGATTGCTTCCAGACATAAATAAGAGTCAGCAGAAGCAGCTTCTTTTTCTGGATTGTTTGCTAGTCTATCAAAGGATTAGATGAGACCTATGTGTTACATCTAAGAGAGAGGTACGAAGACAGCTCTGCCCACTGTTCACTTGGCATAAAATCAGACTCTGGGTGTAAGATGCATCCTAATCAGTTTCTTTACATCAGTGCTCCAAACTATGTACTGTTCAGGAGTATTTTTCTCAATGCTGGATGACTAATTATAGCCATTATAGGTGAATTCTATTACAAGCAATTTAGCAAACCACAAAGTTTTAACTGTGCATTCTGTTGTTCAGTGGCGTGGATATGTACATAACAGACCTGCCTATTCAGCTAAAGTACCAAAAATCAAAGTAAACGTAAGAGTTGAAAGGACTGAGTCTCAGCAGCTAAAAACTACCGAGAATCGTTTTTTTAGGGAGGGGAGGACAAATGCAAGATACATACAGAAAAAAAGGTATTTGAGTTAAGGATTGCTGACAGCTGATTGCAGTAGTGCACTGTAATCATTTAATCATTCCACTTACAAAGGATACAGAAATCCTGACATATGGAAGATACTCTTTCTAACGTCAGTAACTACTTGTATACTTACAACAGATAGAAACAGTATAACCATTAATGGTAACAAAATATTTATTGCATGACAAGCCATTTTGCAGTGACTTCTGTTTTCCCATCAGGAGCTAGATGCCTTCTAAAATTTAAAATTGCACTAAATCATTTTAATTATTACCGTTTTTTTAATTATTATTCTTTCAGACAGATGGGCAAGACATCTGTCAACTCTTCCTACAGCCTCTTTGTTGACAGCTGAACAGAATAATTTTCAGTGTACATAAAGTTGCTTTCAGGAAGAAAATCTCTGCTTTTGAATAGAAGAATAAGTTTTCTACAAAGATAGAGTAGTAAAGGAATTTTCAGTGATATTTCCAGTTTCAAAACTGCTTTATAACAGTATTTTCTTTCTTCACTTCAGAGAAAGAATCTCTCTTCTATGGGAAGTTGTGTGTAGTTAATAGTTCAAATTCTAAGCAGGAGGATTGAGATCATCAATAGCGTGCTTATACCTCTAAGGAGCCACCTCCGTTGAAGAAAATTTATGTGCAAAGTAAGTAAAGGCTTTAAACCCTTCAAGCTCATTTCTTTTAGGAACACGTCAATTCATAACGTTAGACAATTTTAATCTTTCAATACGGTGTTTATGCTTTATTTAAAAGGAATTAAAGGTATCTCAAAACCTTTTGTACAATGTACATCTAAAGGAAACGGACAAAAACTGTGTTTTGAAAGAATCTGGAAAAGAATAAAATGAGCCATTTAGTGATTTTTTTTTTTTTTACAGTCATGATCCATCCTTATCCTACAATTAATTGCTGATGTCCTAACAACTACAGCTGGAAAAACATCAAATTTGGTTAGATTCTAGAAAAATGAAAAATTTAAACTCAATGGTTTTGTATATAACTTTGTGTTCTGTGATTTCACTCATGACCAATTCAACCATTTAGCCCCATCAAACTGAAAATGAATAGTTCTGTCTAATCCCAGTAGCCATACAAATTGCACCCATCTGTGCTGTTTAATACTGACAACCCTCTTCAGCCAAAAAGTATGACTGCTGTAGAGCTACACCTATAAATGAGATTTGTTCATACAATGTTATTTATGTCAGCCTACTAGAATGCTGTAGGCACCTCTCGGTTACTCAGAGTTTTGTAACATTGTCAGAAATGATGGAACTGCAGAGATCTGAAATGCTTCTGCAGATGTAACTGAGGCTGCAAACAGAGCTCTGTAATGAAGGTGAGTGGCAATTTCTTATACAAGCCACCACAACCCATTCATGTTTGTAATACTCTGATTTTCAAGTACATACTGCTGTTTGCAGGAGAATGGGGAATTGTCTGCAAAATGTGACTTTCGTTCACAACAGTATCTTAACTGAAGCTATGAGACAACGCGGAGTTTAAAAACTGGTCCAAGAATTATAATTACAGGAAAGCAGCATGATATACGAAGTAATTGTACATAGAAAGCACGACAGTCGTTCAACCAAATCAGTTTCCCATGCTACAACCGTTTCCAAGTGAGTGAGCTTCTCTGACTAGTTCTGACTTCCAAAGGGCTATTGATGTATATAAAGATTAACCAGCTAAAACACTCCTGAGTTTGTTATAAAACATTAACTACTAGAACTAATAATAGCTCTGGAATGAAAGAGGACTGTTGTGGGAAATACGGTGAATGCATGGAAATGTTTGGCATCTTTTTAGCTTTGGGTAATACTTTCACATGGGCAGAGTGAGCATGATTTATCCTTTTTTACACCAAAAAAGGCAAGTCTGCCCTTTAGTTTGTTACACAATCCACAAGTTAGTTTTTCACACTAACTGGTGACTTCCCGTGTATCCCTTTAGATGATCGAGCTCTTCTGTGAAGGGATTGTAACCTTGCTCTCTCAAACAGCGTAAGGCCCAGAACAGTTGATCTGCTGGAGGGAATTTATCCCATCTAACCCATTCCCAACCTGCAGGGGGGGAAAAAAAAAAAAAGCAAAAGGTAGAGTATAAAATTAATCACGTAACACCTCCCCAAGCCTGGGTGGATGGTTCTTTGTACAGCAACTGCCCACGACACAGTCGAGTTCTCTGTTGCATACGGGGTTATTTTAAACTTATCGCTCTCCTCCCCTCACATCTTGGCCCTACTGGAAATGTTTCCTCAGACCTGGGAGAAACGTGCCTGTAGGTCCTCCCTGACCTCATTACGTCACAGCGTGGGGCAACAAAGGGAAATAAACGGGGCTAATACGGGCTCCAGCCGCATGTTGACGCGGCCGCGTGAGGAGGATGCCCGAGCGCCCGGGGCAGAGGGAGCCGCGGCGCTGCCCCCTCCGCGCGCGCTGCTCACCCTCGTTCTTCTCGGGCTCGCGGTTGCGT